GCCCGAAACACCTCGACCCTCCTTCACCATGAGCGACAGTCCTCTCATTACCCTCCTGTCTGGTCTGCAGTCATTAATTTTCTAACTGAGCTTCTGTGTCACTTAAATTATCTTAGATTCAATTTTCTCATTTGTAAATTAGCAGTTTGGATAAATTCTACTTTCTATGATTTTCTGTGGTCCCTCCTATCTGTCTCCCCACAAATGATGCTTCTGGTCAGTGTCTTCCTGAATCACCTTGCTAATGTTATAGATAATTCTAATTACGCTGCAATCAAAATGTCGCTTCTGAACTTAGGAAAATGGACTCTAATCGACAATAATTGTCCTTGAGTAGTTTTCTATCAAGAGGTTGTTCTTTATGTAAATCTTTGATAATCTTTCTGTACCTTACTCACCGAAACTCTTATCTAAAACACATTGGCATGGGGAGAGACATGTTCCGTTTTAGAGTGGACATTGTCAGTTCTGATTTTAGAGCCCACTACTGTATGCTCTCTGCCTTTCCTCTTGGAAGGTCCTGATCATCTTTCTGTCTCTCAGTTTGTGTATAACAACAGCTGCATTTGTCCCCAATCATTTGAAGGGGGAAGTTGGAGAAAAGATGAAAATACTTTATTGTATCTATAGTTATGTTATAAAGCTATTTTTACTCAGATATATGAGTTATATGTATTATGAATAAGATATGTATGTGTGCATGTGTGTGTACGTGTTTATGTGTTTATGCGTGTGTATGTGTACTGGCTCAAGGTTGACTTCCAGTATCTTCCTTAATGGCTATCTACTTTATTTACTGAGGGGTGGCCTCTCATTGAACCCAGGGATGGTCAGTGACAACTAGTCTAGCTAGCCAGTGTGCTCCAGGATTCTCTGCCCCTGCATCCCCAATGCTGGACTATGGGAGGCTGCCACTCCTGCCTGGCTTTGTAGGTTAGTGCTGGGATCCAAACTTATGCTATTGTGACAAGTGCTTTTTCCACTGAGCCCTCTCTCTAGTCCAGGATATGTGTTAAGAGTAATATGTTCACTATGTAGGCCAGGCTGGCCTCAAACTTACAGAGATCTACCTGCCTCTGTCTACTGAGTGCTGGGATTAAAGGTGTGTAACACCACACCTGGCTTGGGATTACATTCAGCACACAATGGGACATAGGAAAACCACAGTATCAATTATTATGTCTTATAAACCTACTGTTCATGATTGATACATGATACTATGGTACATTTTTTTCTCAGAATAAAACCTGAGAAATATTGTCCTTGATTTTCAAAATAACTAATAAGCCTCATAACAGCAAATAGCAAACTGTCTTCCAAGTAGACTCGGATGTTTCACATTAATGATGAGCTCTCTTGCTGCCAAATGAAGAGGATTACTTATTGCTAATTACTATGTAAAAGAGACGAATGTGGCACAGTTTCTTTTAGTCAGCCATGTCTCTGTGTATTTATGTGTACTGAGAACACAATAGAATCTGACTCATTATTTGGCTTCATTTTATAAAGTGACTACTATAAACTTTAAGTAGTTTTACATTAAAAATTACATTAGATACCATTTGAAAAACTGGCATCCGAATTAATGTCAGCTAAGAATTTCCTTTAAAACTTTGACCCAAATAAAAATAATAGTGTTTGCCAATTGGGTGTGAATTTCGACAGTGCAGATTCCAGCAGGGGCTGAATGCTTGGTTGCCGTAAGAGCTCTGGAATTAGCCCTTTAAAGGAATTTTGTAGCATCGCATTGAGAGCACAGCCCTGAATTCTCTTCAGTGAATCATCTAAGCTTTTTTCTTTCCTTGTCTAAAGATTCTTTTCTCATTTTCAGGAGGCTTGTAAGAGTTTGATGTTCATAAGCTAAACTTCACTCAGAGCATCTGCCAACGTGAGGAGCTGAATCGAGTGCTGGCAGGCTGTGCATGCCTGAGGTTTTGAAGGAGTTGGTCATGGAACTGGAGTTTCCCATTCACCATTGAGGCAATGGCTTTAGAACACAGGGTGGCCCGTTTTGTGGATAAAAACTTGCAGATTTGTTTCACAAAATCGAATGGATCAGCTCTCCCCTTTACAATCACCTGCACACGGGTGACATCTTTTTCCTCAGTGGCAACTTAACTGAATTTCACTAAATATGTTCACCCTAATGAAACAGCAATTAATGCCAGTATTTTAAGTAGTGAGCAATGTTTTACTGCTGGAAAAGGAGATTGTGTAGTTTTTTAGTCACAAGCCAAGGGTGACAAGCATATCTTTGTCATGAAGAAGGGTAGGCCATTTCATAAACTCTTCTGTGTCTGCCCTAAGAGTAAGACTGATAAGAGGCACATGATAGCTATGTTGGTTAAATAATTATTACATGGCTTTGTGTGGTGTAGGATGTCATTTTGTATGCTGTGAATAAATGTTGCTTTTATTGGTGAATAAAGCTTCTTTTGCCTATGGCATGGAAGAGTATAGCTAGGTGGGAAAGACAAATTGAATACAGGGAGAAAAAAAAAAGGTGGAGTCAGGAAAGCACCAGCAACTGCCATAGAAGTAAGAAGTGAGATATCGAGCCATGAGCCTTGTGGTAAAATACAAAGTAATAGAAGTGGATTAATTTAAGAGTAAGAGCTAGTTAATAATAAGCCTGAGCCATCAACCAAACGCTTATAAACAATATAAGCCTCCGAGTGTTTATTTGGGAACTGGCTGGCAGGAGAGAAACCACCAGCCACATTTGTATATTTGTGAGTGTGTGTAGCTGGGAGTGGGTTCTCAGGATAGTCCAGAACCTCAGAGCCTCTTGCATGCTGAGCTACACACTCAAGCTCTCTTTATCTAGCTTCTTAAGTATGGAGTTATTTTTCCTCATTACAATAGAAATATATACACAGAAATATAAATTGATAAAAAGTAAATCAAAACTACCATATTGCATACATTGATGAACATACCTCTCCACAGCCTTTCTCTGCACACGTGTATGCCACCATGTTGAAAATTTGACCAGTTTCTTCATGGTTGACAATAATGTTTGATATATCTTCCCACATCAATAGTCTTTAAGTATAATCACATTTAAAAATAACCATATAGTACACTGTTAAGTCTATTACTGAGCATTATAGTTATTTCTGATATTTTGCTGCTGCAAATGGCTCATTGGTAAACTTCCCATCACTCAGTCTTTCTGCACTTTCTTAATTATATCCCGAGGCTATTTCCAGAAGAGAGGCCACTAAGCCACAGGTCTGGGCATTTGGAAGTCTGATAATTACTGCCAAATTGTTCTCTTGGACACCCTGTTATTTGATCTCTGACCACGAAAGTACGAGACAGCCTGTTTGGCCTCACCAATAGTCCCGAAGTCTAAACCTTTCTTGGTTTATTCTGATTTTCACCGTAGCTCTTTGAAGCAGACAGAATAAATGGGGAAGGACAGGGATGGTCATCTCTGTCACACAAGCTCAGGCTAAGGGCAGCTCCCAGCTCTTTTCTTGTTCTTACCCTCCTGCTGCAGTGGGTGGGGACACCAAATGACTCCAGGGAAAGAACCAGGAGAAGGAATTCCTGCTCCAGCCTCAGCCTGGCTCCCGTTTGGATGGCTGGCAGGGATCTGGCCCTCAGCCACCAGTCCGTGGGTGGCATGATTCTTGTATTCTGAGCAAAAGACTGTGTTGGCACACTGCTCACCGAGGCCAGTGCTGAAGCCAGCAGGGAGAAGGCGGTAAGGAAGTTGAGGGTGACCAAATTGCAAACATAGGAACTCAGTTCAAAAATCCTTCAACTCTTACTCCATGTTGTGAGTACAGCGACCCAGGCTACTCATCTGGTGCGAAATTTTAATTAATGGGTTTATTTTTCAATTATAAGATTTCTATGCATAGAATATTTTGATATTTTATTCTCTTGGAATTTTAGGGAACAGAGTCTAATATGGCCCAGGCTGACTTCAAACTGGCCTTATAACTAAGGATGACCTTGAACTCCTAGTCTTCCAGCTCCCCTCTCCCTAATTCTAGAACATCACCATGCCTGACTCTTAAATTTTAGTCATAATTTGATTCTGGTTAAGGGAAGACCCAGGGACTCTTACATGCTAGAAAAGGGGCTTCACCACTGAGCCACACCTCCACCTCTGTATTTTTATTTGCACGGCACATTCAAGGAGTCAAGTGCTCATAAAAAAAAAAAAAAAGGAAAGGTGGTGAAGGAAAAATTCTATTCAAGGTAATAGAAGCAAGCCTGCGTTCCTTCTTTCTTGATTTATACAGTTCCATATACTTAATAAAGTAGAAAGAAATTTGAATGAACAAGACCTTGAGTACAATGCTGAAGGTATCTGCACAGTTCCAAGAAGTGTTTGGACATAGTATTGTGTAAGGAAACGATTACGCAAAAGGTCAAGGGTGTGGGTAACGGTGAGTAAGGCAAGCATGCTAGTGGTGCTATAGCCTTATGTACAGTTACAGGTTCTGCTTCTGTAGCAGCCTGTGAGCTCACCGCAGTGAGCACAGTTTTAGGAGGCCTTCTACAGCAGTGGCTCTGCTTCCTCTGCTCTTTGGGATCACTCTCCTTTCCTTATCTCTAAATCCCACTTCAGGTGATGCCATTTATTTATTGGTTTGTTTGTTCAAGCCCCGTAGAGACAGAAACTGTGCCCCATCTCCTGATGCAGACAGAGGGAAATGATCCCATAGCAAATGCAGCATTATTTTTATCAATGAGGGAAAGAAATTGTATTTTGATCATGACATTTCTTGTTTCTCAAAATCTTTTTAAATTGATCAAGGTAAATCCATATAATAATATCTGATGAACAAACGTCATCTTTAAAGTCAATTTATGAATTTATGCAGCTCATATAATTTATGGCCTCAATATTTTTAATCTATAAAGTAAGAATGTTAGACCCAGATCAGCAATTCTCAATATTTAGGGATGGGTACAACATATTAGAATCTTCTTTAGACAATTGAAGGTTGGAAAAGCTTACTCAATACGACTAGATGATCTGAGAGTTGGGAGTGAAATGTATTTATATCAGTTACTTTTCTTGTGACAGAAACACAATACTTGACAAAGGCAGTTTGAGGGAGAGATAGCTCCTGATTTCAGGGGATTTAAGTTTGTCGTAGATGCCACAGCTGCCGCAATGCCTCAGTGTGTGTTGGCCGGAGAACGAGCAGGCTGGTCACACTGTCGAGGCTGACTTGGAAGCAGAACATGGTCCTGAAAGCAGAGGGAAACTGTGACTCAGGTGACTCCCTCCTAGTGTGGCCTGTCTGCCTCAGCCAGCCACTCAGCTTGCCAGACGTCATAACTTGTGGCACATCTCCTCCCTCATGATCTTGAGTACCAAAATGACGGGTATTTGACAGTGTGCATGACTTTAGACCAAAATTTTACAGTGCCTCCATCAGTTTATGTTAGTTTAGGTCCTGTGGAGGACCGCAACTACATACTCCATTACAAGATGGCGCTGGCATCCGGTTTCACCGCCAGGTGAACGCACATGTGCTTGGTAACTTCCCACTGCTGTCCCTGCCTACTCCCGAGGCATCATCTGGGATAATGGGCAGTGGACCAATCCAAGAGTGACCTGTCCGAAGCGAGGACTGTTTCCTACATAAGGGCTGGGTTCCCCTCGTTCTGGGTCTCCGCCATGTAAGCTTATGCTCTCTCTCTCAAGAAGCGTTAAAAGCTTTTCTGCAGAAGGATCCTAGTGTCCTGCGTGGTTCTTGTGGGCAAGACGGTAGCGTGGGACAAGGTCCTTCGATTCTTTGTTTGTTTGTCTGTTTACTTGCTTATTTATTTGTTTGGGGACAGGTTCTCATATCCCAGGCTGCCCTCAAACTCCTTATATAGCCAAGGACAACCTTGGACTTCATTGTCTCCTGTTTTTACCTCCTGAGTTGTAGGTGTGCACCATCCTGCTTGGTTCATGGGGTGCTGGGTCTCCTGAATGCTAGGCCAGCATTCTGCCAGTTGAGTTCTACCTGGGGTTTGGTGTGTAGAAGAGGAACCCCGGTAGAGAGAACATAGCAGGGAAGGGATGGCCAGCCAGCCGCCCTTGGTTTAAGGTTGTGAAGTGAGCAAAGGAAAGATTGGGTTGGAAGGAGCCTCAGGAGTCACATCACAGGTCTGAGATGTGTCAGCCGAGACTCTGGTATCCCTGAGTTCCATGAACTGATCTCTCACTGGAAGACTGTACATTGAGCAACAGGAGCAACCTGGTCCTGTCACTCCAGTACTTAGTGATTATCTAGGGGTGATCCAGAGGAAAAAGAACCTGCTTCGAAGGCTTCAGTGGATTAAAAGTATGTCTCTCCTCCCAGTAGCAGGTCCTTTGATTGGCATAAGGTGCCCTTGAATTCTAGGGCCTTTCCAAGGATTTCTCAAAGATTATTGTTATAGCTCTCCACTCTTAACTCTCAGGAACAAAATAATAAAATTCTTCTTCTTCTTCTTCTTCTTCTTCTTCTTCTTCTTCTTCTTCTT